CTTTTTCTATTAGCTTCATTTTCTAACTAGTTTGTAATTAGGGTTGTCTGTATATTATGATGTTGATTGGTTATTTTTTAAAAAATGATGTTGATTGGATGACCAATTCCTACTTATCTTACTCTAGAATTAGATATTGTTTCTTTTTCGGATGTTCTTTTTATTTTTTTGGGTGGAGCAATAATCAGTTTGTCATTTCTTGCCATAGTAAAAAATCTGAGTATCGTGCTGACGCTGATGCTATTTTTGAACTATTTTGGCTCCGTTGGTTGCTACAAGATATGTATACCATGCATTCCTCTGCTACGATTCTATGAACAGGTGTTTTTGGTGAACCCTATAAATACGTTTCTCCAAAATACTATCTTTGTTGAAGTTAACAATTATATAATGATTTATATTCCTGTTATCTGAGGGAAAATGATAATAATATTATTATACAATATAATTAAATTAGAAGGTGTACATGTGGCACTGTGGGAGCACAATATCAGCACCCAGAATTTTGGACTTTAACTACTATGTAAAAGTATCTCCCCACATTTGTATGTGTTTATCTGTAACACTTGAATGCTAACTGACCTCGAATTGACTGAATTCTAAATAATGAATTTGGCAGGTACAAAATGGGAGACATGGGTGTGCAGCAAGCTGAGCCCAGGCTGGAGCCTAAGAAGCATAGGAGACAATCACGCAAGAGGATCAACCAATCGATTCTAGATGAGTTAGATGAGCTTGACGACGACGATGATTTGGACTTGGAAAATGATCCTATTCTGAGGGCAATTAGGAATGAAGACCAGAAATAGCAACACCAACTTGTGTGATCGCATCCAATGTAAATAAAATACACTCTGCTTCTCTCTCTCATTTTTTTTCTTTTCCGGAAAATAGAATCTCTTTTTGCAATGGTATATTTTGAAAAGTTAAATCGGATTACAAGAAATGCAATTCACATTTGTTTCAAGTTAGGGTTTGTACAAATGAAAAGTACTTGTTGTGTTTCAAGTACTTTGTTATTGTTCTTTTAACACTTTATGAATTATTTATATTTAAAATATCTAATAGTATTTTTACAGTTTTTAGGCACCGATATATATTCAAAGTATTCAAGGTGTGTAAGAGTATTTTGGTTGTGTCGGGAAAAATTTATAGTTATTCAAAATATTTGCATTGTTTAAGAATATTTTGAATATTGAGATATACTTTTAAATTTTCTGATTCTTTATATTTATTTAAATCTCAAATATTTACAGATAATTTATATATATTGCCAACACATAAAACTATAACTGTTTATGGGCATTAGAACACTAAAACATATTCATATATTTTTTAATAATTGGTGCATTGCTATTTTCTAATATTTAAATATTTTAAACATTTTGTCACACGGCATATTTAAATATATTTTTCTTTTATTTGATTTTTTTATTATTTTTTAAACATAAAAGAGAGAAAAATTGCCCAAAAAAAACTAATTTTGCCATATTATTAAAATAAACTGTTTATGTGTCTTAAATTTTGGCGATATTTATCTATATTTTGAGAATAATTTATTTGAATTTTCTTTATATTTATCATAAGAAATATTTGATATATATCTTATAGAATTTTTATTTGTGAAAAGCTCTGTTAACTTATTTATAAATAGATTTACTAACCTATTGGTGATATACTTTCAAATTACGTAGTGAAATTCTTTCTTGCCGATCTTACCTGTGGATGTAGGCGCATTGCCGAACCACATAAAATATTTATATTCTTTTCTTTATACTTTTATTTTGGTGTGATTGTGCATGCTTTAAGAATTAATTTTTTCCAACAATTGGTATCAGAACTCGGGTTTCAGTTGAGTTAGAGAGAGAAAACAGATCAATCAGGGAAGAAAAAAAATTAAATTTGGTTTTTTTTGGTTACCTGAAGAAGGCGAATCGCACAGAGAAACTAAAATGACGAACGACACGACTTGAATAGACGGAACGGTCCATGCTCAGATTCGTTCGACTAAATCGATGAGGGAGAAAGTTGGGTTATATGAGTGGTGACCAACGAAATCAGACTTAGAATGGAGAAGTTTGGACACGCGACGACTCACACGAAGAAAATCGACTTGCTTGAAGAGGAGGGCCAGAGAAGAGAAACTGAAGGCGGATCCGTGACGTCCGACCCTGTCTGTGCGCAAACCAGAGCCAAAAGAGAAACTGAAGCCGGATCCATTGAATCGCACGTTTCTGTGTATGTTTTTGGTGTTTTTTGGCAATAGCAAGAGGTGGCCGGTGGCCACTCATGTGACATCGCGTGGCAGCGAGTGGAGGTGCATGATGGCGCGTGCTATATTCCGGTGGTTACGTTTAGTGATTTTCTGTGTAGTGGTGACTCCTTGTGAGTGTTTTTTGCTTTCTGACAGTGTTTTTTTTTTCTATTTAGTTTTTTAATGCACAGTGTAGGGATTTAAGATGATATCCACAAAATATAAGATAGAGAAGTTTAATGGTAGTACAAGTTTCAATATGTGGAAGGTTAGAATGAGATTGTTCCTGGTGCTATAAGGTTTATAAGGGAGGGGGGGTAATTGAAGAAATATATCCTGAGGGTATGAGAAAGTCAGAAAAGTCAAGTATGTAAGATAGAACCTTATGTGCGATTTTTATGAGTGTCAATGACAATGTTCTGCAAGAAATTACTGAAAAATTTTTAGCTTTAGCAACGTGGAAGAAACTGGAAGAGTTGTGCTTTGTAAAATCGTTGATGAACTGTCTTTATTTGAAGAAAATGTTGTGTAATTTTAGAATGAATGAATGTACATCCATTAAACAGCACCTTGATGAGTTTAATTCTTTAATTATGGACTTGAATAACGTAGATATTAGGATTAAAAATGAGAATCAAGAATCGATTGTTTTGTGTTCATTACCATCTTCTTTATGAGACTTTTGTTGATACTCTACTGTATGGAAAAACTAGTATTTCATTAGATGATGTTAGTAACGCACTAATATTGGAAGAGTTACAAAAGGGAAAGATTTGGGGGGGAGGGGGGGAGGGAGGCGAACAATTGAAGAAAGATATCCTGACGGTATGAGAGAGTCAAAAAAGTCAAGTATATAGGATAGAGCTTTATGTGCAATTTTTATGAGTATCAATGTTCTGCGAGAGATTGTTGAAGAAATTTCAGCTTCAACTGCATGGAAGAAATTGAAAGATTTGTGGTATGTAAAATCGGGCCTTTATCTGAAGAAAAGGTTGTATAATTTCAGAATGAGTGAAAGTACGTCCATTAAACAACACCTTGATGAGTTTAATTTTTTAATTATAGATCTGAATAACATTGATATTAAGATTGAAAATGAGGATAAGGAATTGATTGTTCTGTGTTTATTACTATCTTTTTATGAGACTTTTATTAATATACTACTGTATGGAAAAACTAATATTTCATTAGATGATGTTAATAATGCACTAAAATTGAAAAAATTACAAAAGAACTTTACTGAATATAGAAAAGAAGGGGAAGATTTAATAAGTAGGGGAATGACACAGAGAATGAGCAAATCAAAAGCTATAGATAAAAAGGAAAACTGTTTTGAGTGCGGGGAGAATGGTCACTTTAGGAGAGATTATCCTATGCTGAAAAGAGGAAAGGAGCAGGAGAGTTCTGCTAATGTAGTTGATAGAGATAATTCTGATGATAGTGATAACAACAGTGTTGGAGTAGTTTTATTTGTGAATTTGTATCATATAAAAAACTCATGGATTCTTGATTTTGGTGCTATATTCCACGTGTTTACATAGACACTGGTTTGTTACTTACAAGCAAATGAGTGGTATCGTATATATGGGAGATGACAGTTCGTAATCTATAGCTGGGATTGGTAATATTAGATTAAAAATGTTTGATGGTATCATCAGAACTATTGAATGTTGACATGTTCATCAGATGAAGAGAAATATGGTTTCTCTTTCTACATTGGCGAC